TCTTCTTCATGCAAAAAGGTCTTTTATAAAAGTTTCTGCAGCTAAGAGATTAAAATGCCTTACCGGTGCTATTATATTTTGAGCAGTACTATATCCTCATTTTTAGGTAAATGATTTTTGTTTTGAATGATAGACTCTTAAGAGCTTCAGCTAGACCTGCCACCTACTGTAAAAGCAAAAGGTCAGTCCACTGAGCAAAAATGAGTCCAAAAGCAATGACTTACAAGCCTTGTATGAACCTAGAGGTGAAAAACAGTTTCTCCCATGAGCGGTTGACCGTGTGGCGCTTCCGACTGTCTGCAGTAGTTCCAACTGATTTCCTGCAGGTGTGGGTTACGCTGCATTGCAAAGAAGCAAGCTGGTATCCTGTCTGAAAGTGAAGCAGTTGCACTTTGCTAAGGTCAGAACCAGACTGAAGTATCATAGATATCATATTCTCACCCCTTGTGCCTGAGCATCAAGCACTCCTTTTAGGCACATCATAAGCAGGTCTCTCTTCAGAATCTATTTCATGGAAATAAGTTAATGTTGGGTGCAATATGTGATATGGTTTTGATTAGTTTCTAAAGATATACGTATCTCCATATTTAGACTGAAATATCTCCTTGAACTGTACAGGAAGGTCTAAGACCTTGTATACATTTTTTTTTTTTGATAAAGGAGGAAGGAAAGGCGTTTGTTTTGCTACATGGGTGCAGCAACACTGTTTTGTCTTAAGGAACTTTTGTGAATCGAAGCAAAAAAGATGTGCATTTTATTTTCAGCAGAGAAACTGATCTGCTAATAGGGTCAGTACTTAGTAAGCTATTATGGTACTGAAATCTATTAGACTTGGGGCATGGTGTTAAACCTCTATGATTTCTTTCATACTATCCCCTAAATTAGCTAGTGCTGTTTTCCAGCTGGTTCAATTTCTAACTACTTTTCTGACAAAAGCAGAGAGGGAGCCCTGTTGACTCCTGTATTTTCGATCAGTAAGAAAATGTTGTGTTTAGAGGTGTAACATAATAAAATCTTTCAATTTGTGCACCAGGACAGAGTCAAAGAACTTTACTGACTTGGTATATAATAGGACACTTAAAACAACTACATAATGCAGAAGTAGCAAGGACATAGAAAAAAGCCAGTTGTACAGATCAAGTCACAAACTAGAAATTAAGATTTGAGATTTATCATTATTTTGGAGGGTGGTTATGAGATTTTTTTTTTTGGTCTCAATTAAAATTTTAATCTGAATCCTAGAGGATATTATTACCAGGCTATCTTTCACCTAACAGCTTAGAAAATTTCAGCCTAAAGTGACATTCTGGCAGTTACTAGTAACAGGAAATAACTTTGGTATAAAAAGTGCCAATGGATCTTAACTACTGTGACAGTACTCCTAATCATGATGCAAGTCACGCTGACTTAAAATCTAAACCTATTAGCTATACTTCAAATTCAGTATGAGTATACTGTTTTCTTGAGTGTGGTTAAGATAAGCTGATTCTGACTTTATAAGTAACTACCTTTAGCGAACGTTATTTTTGCTACTACGGGGAATTCCAGCTAGGAAAATTCATTAATTTTTATGTGGGTTGAATTTGCTTTCATTTCAATTATGAATAGTAGAAATGTTTGTGAAGAAGTTTTCTGAGCGATATAATCTGAGACCTTTAGTTTCGAAAGTCTAAATTAAAGAAAGATTTAGATTCGATTCTGCTTGCCTCCAGTTGTTGCATTCAGATTTAACACTCACACTGAATTTGGAAAGTAGGTTACCAGACCAGATACAGCCAAGAAAATCTTGTTAACAAGTATTACTGTACAGCTTTACAGCCCTTTAATTATAAGAAAAAACTTACGTAAGTAGCTGTGCAGGTCAGTTCCGCAGATGCAGCACTGAAGACAACATGACATCTACACAGTTCACTAGGATTTGGTAGTTTTATATACCCAATTGGGTAGGAAGTATGTGTCTTCACCTGATCTATTACTTACAGTTAACTTTGATTTTCCCACAGTTAAGTTATATGATTCCTTGTATAGGCAAGGCTGATTGACTTTCCCACAAAAGATCTGCTCTCTTACATTTTAAATACATCCATTCTATATGGTTGATCTGTTGATTTATAGTTCTCCCAGATGACCTACTCTTCTACTGGACTGTGCTCTCAAATAACCTAGCTGTCTTTGGACCATATATTTTCTTAGATTAACCTAGTCATTTTGTGATTATACTTTTTCCCAGATAATCTGCTAATCTGTGGACATGATGGTATATTTTTCTTCAGGCGCACATCAATGTTCTTTCAAGGCACAGTATCTCAGACTTTCCAGGTGTGGCTCATGATAGCTTATTGTGCTTCATCGCAGATCTGTTGTTATTTTAGAAGGTCCAGACTTTCTCGTGCCTGTGGAAATTCAGTTTACATACCGATAGTAAACGAAAACATACACAAAAAGCAAATTTTCTGATTGCTTGTTCTAACGTACGTCAAACTAGATTAGCGTCAAAATTGTTTATGGAAAAGTTCATTTCTCTTCAGGCTGCTGTACAGTTTCTAACAGAAAGCCCTCTCCACTTCTCTGGGCAACGTTAGGGGAGGTTTCACTCAGCCTCCCGCGCTGCTGCGGCCTGACGTCGCACCTGCTCAACGCGTTGCTGCGGCCTGACGTCGCACCTGCTTCAACGCGGGGCGGCTGCGCAGCTCGCCACTCTCGCTCCTCCACACCG